CTTCAGTGCAAGTAAACAGCTACCAATGGGTAGTCAGGGCTAATTTACTGTAGAATAGCATAACATTTCCTGTACCTGTAGGAGCACACAGGCATTTATGTTGAATTGCCTGGCTGAATAGGGAACAGCAAATAGAGAATAGGGTTCTGGGGAACTGGAGATGAAGCAATGAGCTACCAGCAATCACTGTAGTTTTCATTTGAGCACATCGCCAGCGAGGTAGACCTATGGGTCCCTTGGAAGGTGCATATGTGAGCTAATGGCTGCAGAGCAGCAGTGAGCCATGCCTCCTGCATCTATGGACTGTGGAGCAAGAGTGTATGGAGAAAGAGGAGTGGCAGAGACCAACAGGAGGAGACAAATTGCTCATATGAGGCCTCAGTCCCCTGGGTTTCAGCTTGCACAGTCTTTGCTTAGCTCCCTGTTCCAAGGTTGCTAGTGCACAAAGTAAACGCCTCTGCGGGGAAACATGTAGTAAAGGCAGGGTCCTGCTTCCCTCCAATACCTGGAATTTTTATATCATTTAAAGATAATGCTACAGGGGCTGGCGCTGTAGCATAGTGGGTAAAGCTGGCTCTTGCAGCGTCGGCATCCCATATGGGTGCCAGTTCGAGTCCCAGGTGCTCCGCTTCTGATCCAGCTCTCTGCTATGACCTGGGAAAGCAGTGGAAGATGACCCAAGTACTTGGGCTCCTGCACCTGTGTGGGAGACCTGGAAGAAGCTTCTGGCTCATGGCTTTGGATTGGCACAGCTCCGACCCTTGCAGCCATCTGAGGAGTGAACCATCTGATGGAAGATTTCTGTCTCTCTGCCTCTGCTTCTCTGTAACTCTACCTTTCAAATGAATGAATGAATGAATGAATGAATGAATCTTTTCTAAAAAAATAATGCTGCAACAAAAAAATTTAGACTGGGCAATTTGTCAACAATAGAAATTTATTTCTCACAGTTCTGGAGGCTGGGAAATGCAATATCAAGGTACCAGCAGGTGCAATGTGTGGTGAGGGCATCTCTCTGTGTCCTCAGGTGGCAAAAGGAGCCCCACAAGCATCCTCAAGCCTCTTTTCCAAAGGCACTAATTGAAGTCAAAACTCCCTTCAAGGCCACACCTCTTGACTCCATTACATTGGGATTAAATTTCCACATGAATTCTGTGGGATGACGCAGACATTCAGAGCATAGCATTGTCAAATTTACTTGTTTTCGACCATATTTATATTGTAAAAGGTATGTAATCATTAATAGTAACATAATTCTAAAATGAGTTTAAATATCAAAAAATTCACTGAATCCTGTTCTCAATTCTGCAGTCCCTTTTGCATGTATCCTAACTAGAAATGTCCGAACAAAAATTTTTGCAGAATCTTGTTTTCCTATTCACTATGTGACTCAAATGGTTGAGATTAGAGGATGATAAAGCAAATACCCTAGGGCAAAAAATAAATAACTTAGGTCAGAATGAAGTGCTCATGTTAGAAGACAACTTCTGTCAAGTGGCTTTTGTGTAACCATTGATATAACTATCAAAACATACACAACGTGTAGAAGCTGTAAAAATGTAAAAACTAAGATGACTGGAGTGCCACGTATAGATAGGTGCCAGGTTTCTCAGTAAGTTCACAGGAATTGGTCCTTACCTTGATAGGGTCACCATATACCAGGTTAGATCTGCAGAATGAGAAAGAACTCTCTTTCTGGTTTATAGAAATGCAACCATATTCACCAGCATACAAAGGTTGATATGCAAACCAGAATGTCAGTCCATCACTTTAAAACATAAAGCTAATCAGAATACTTAAGCTGACCCAGTACAACAGGGAGCTGGCACCAGAACATGAGAAGTCAGTTTATTTTAAGTGCCTTTTAACTAAGGTGTCTTGAACTGTTCTCACACACTAGAGTACATGTATAAGGACACCTTAGCATTGAAGTCTGCTTAGCAATGATTTACTCCACCCAGTGTAAATCCATGATTGGCTGCTCTGTAATTGTTTGCTTCCGAGACTTCCCTTTTCTTAGACTCCTGTGAGTCAGCACACCTATTCTGTTCCCACAGCCTTTTTCTGAGTACACTTTGTCAGTTACATCCCGATGTGGAGATTACACGCCCAAACAATGAGGTCCCGAAGCCATGCTCAGATCTCTTGTGTTCTTAACATTAATTCTTTTTTTTTTCTTTATGTACAATGCCTTGATTTAATAATGCAGGTGACTAACCATAGGACCTTTCTTTGGATTTGAGGTGGTGAATCTCTTTGGGGCACTTTTTTTTTTTTTTTTTTCAGGCAGAGTTAGACAGTGAGAGAGAGAGAGAGAGAGAGAAAGGTCTTCCTTTTTCCGTTGGTTCACCCCCCAAATGGCCGCCATGGCCAGTGCTGTGCAGATCCAAAGCCAGGAGCCAGGCGCTTCTTCCTGGTCTCCCATGCGGGTACAGGGCCCACGCACTTGAGCCATCCTCCACTGCCTTCCTGGGTCACAGCAGAGAGCTGGACTGGAAGAGGAGCAACCGGGACAGAATCGGCACCCCAACCAGGACTAGAACCCAGGGTACTGGCACCACAGGTGGAGGATTAGCCAAGTGAGCTGTGGTGCCGGCCTAGGGCAATCTTATTTCCATTCATATTGGGAGTGCCTCACTATAACTCCTATTATCTTAAGTGTAGCACAAATTAGCAGTAAGTTTTTTTTTCTCATTTGCAGATGTCAAAATAACTATAGAGCTAAATAAATGTGCAATTTGATGTGAAAAATTATACATCAACTTCTAGCAGGCAGATTGGTACTAAGGGAATATTTGGCATAGCACAGAAATTTTTTATCCTACCTCCAGTTTATTTTTTTTAACTTTTGTTTAATGAATATAAATTTCCAAAGTACGGCTTATGGATTACAACGGCTTCCCCCCCATAACATCCCTCCCACCCGCAACCCTCCCCTTTCCCACTCCCTCTCCCCTTCCATTCACATCAAGATTCATTTTCGATTCTTTTTATATACAGATCAGTTTAGTATACATTAAGCAAAGATTTCAACAGTTTGCTCCCACACAGAAACATAAAGTGAAAAATAATAGATGATTTTTTAAATGATGATGAAATCAGATCAGACCTATTGTCATGTTTAATCCCAGTAAGAGTCAAGCTGAGAATTGATAATTTTTTTTACAGAAGATGAGTTTAGTATACATTAAGTAAAGATTTCAACAGTTTGCACCCACATAGACACACAAAGTGAAATATACTGTTTGAGTACTCATTATAGCATAAAATCTCAATGTACAGCACATTAAGGACAGAGATCCTACATGAGGAGTAAGTGCACAGTGACTCCTGTTGTTGACTTTACAAATCGACACTCCTATTTATGGCATCAGTAATCTCCCTATGCTCCAGTCACAAGTTTCCAAGGCTATGGAAGCCTTTTGAGTTCTCCGACTCTTATCTTGTTTAGACAAGGTCATAGTCTAAGTGGAAGTTCTCTCCTCCCTTCAAAGAAAGGTACCTCCTTCTTTGAAGACCTGTTCTTTCCACTGGGATCTCACTCACAGAGATCCCTCATTTAGGTTTTTTTTCCCCCCAACAGTGTCTTGGCTTTCCATGCCTGAAATACTCTCATGGGCTTTTCAGCCAGATCGGAATGCCTTTAGGACTGATTCTGAGGCCAGAGTGCTATTTAGGACATCTGCCATTCTATGAGTCTGCTGAGTATCTCATTTCCCATGTTGGATCACTCTCCACTTTATTTATTCTATCGGTTAGTATTAGCAGGTACTAGACTTGTTTATGTACTCCCTTTGACTCTTAGTCCTTTCATTATGATCAATTGTGAACTGAAATTAATCACTTGGACTAGTGAGATGGCATTGGTACATTCCACCTTGATGGGATTGAATATCCAGTTTATTTTAACTTTGTGAATTTGGCAGATTCATCAAGCTCTCTTCATTTATTCTTTTCATAAATTAGGATTAGTTGCAATAATGGTTATCTGTTTGTTCTAAGGATTAAGTGAGGGGCTGGTGCTGTGGCATAGTGGGTAAAGCCGCCGCCTGCAGTGCCAGCATCCCACATGGGCTCTGGTTCTAGTCCCGGCTGCTCCTCTTCCAGTCCAGCTCTCTGCTGTGGCCCGGGAGGGCAGTGGAAGATGGCCCAAGTCCTTGGGCCCCTGCACCTGCATGGGAGACCTGGAGGAAGCTCCTGGCTCCTGGCTTTCAATTAGCACGGCTCCGACTGTTGCGACCATTTGGGATGTTATCCAGTGGATGGAAGTCCTCTTTCTCTCTCCCCTTCTGCCTCTGTCTATCTGCAACTCTGTCTTTCAAATAGCTAAATAAATCTTTTTAAAAAAGGATTAAAAGGATTAAGTGAAGAAACGTTTCCTGACTTCAGGTGAGTGCTTACTAGATGATAGTTTTCAATAATTCATAAATAAAATAGTTATAAATCACATTGGTCAATGCCTCTAAACATCAAAAAAGGTTGCCTTTTCAAAAAAATAAGGGAAAAATTTCTTATGAATTTAGAACTAATTCTAGTACCTTAAGTCCTTATTCTCAAATAATTCTTGGTCTCATGATCTTTCTCAATAATGTGATAATCATATAAAAAGCCTAATGATTTTTTTCCCCATATAAACAGGTGATGCAGAGGATTGCAATGGTCAGGCATCCTCTAAACACTTAGACTGAATTTGTAGCTTTTTTTATTTGGTAACCTAAACAGGTTGCATGTATTACCAAAGATGACTATCACAGAGGAACACATTACTACTGTAGCTCTCAGTACCGAGTGTACGACAGTTCTTGTCCTCCAAAAGCCGATAGGAAGGCCAACTACTTAGTATGTCCTTCTCAGGCCAAGTGGCTTCTGATAAAGGAATTCTGTGAATCAACCTTAACATGCACATAGTTGCTAAGAGATGGACAAAGAGAACTTTGTATTCTTCTTCTTTGAATTCTAGATTGTGTATTACTTCCAAGAACAAAATGCCACACCGATAATAAGGTGAATTTAAATGATATCATATTATATGTTCTATTTCTCCTCATCCTAAAATTCCAGGAGGTGTTAAGTTGCTGTGTCCCTGGGTATCAGATACCTACAGATTTGCTTTAAGAAGATGGCACTAAAAACTATACTATCAGGGCAAGATTCAAACTCTAGAAGGATAAGAAATGAAGGATGGGAAACTCCCATGCATCAGTGGTGTAACACACAGCCTGTGTCATTTTCTTAGGGATGCCTCCTCTTAACCCTCTAGACTCTTAAATCTCCTTTATAAGAGCTCATAACTTCCTGTCATTTCTCTTCCCTAGTATACATTAGAATATTGATGAACATTTTGATTAGCAACATAGTTCTATGTTATCCAGTCTGTTAAAATTCAATATTTATAATTACCAATATTTATCTGAGAATAAGGCGACACGCTGACCCACCAAACCTCAGTGTAGACTAGAGCTAGGGCAGTTTTTCAGAGCTCGCCTATCTTCCTGAAGACGGTAATATAAAGTGATTTCACTTCAAGTAACTTCTAAAGCTCTCCAGAAAGGAAATTACTGGCCTACTGTCTTCCCTACTTCTCCTTAGACCAATAGTAATGGATGATTAGAATGCAAACAACTGTAACTGGCTCCTCACTCCTCGTGGGATACAGTCATACAGGTAAGTGATGATGGAAAGAAGAAACAGGTAGAAAGAGACAATTCCTACTGTCACTCTCAGTTCCACAAGAACAGGAGATGTGTGTGTCTGTGTGTGTTTTGTGTACGCCTCCAGGAATAAAGCAAATGTTTGTTGTAAAAAGCATGTTCAATAAAAGTTTTGGAATGAATTAAAGAAACAACTATGAAAGAATCCATGATGTCATTGTTTATAAGGGAAGTAAAAACTCCTCTGCGTATTCGTTCCCTTTGAAACAGCCCTTGATTGGATGCTTGAGAGGTTATTAACAAAAAATACATTTACAATATGCATTGCCTTCCCCCATTTGGTTTTTCTTTAAAGAATTCTTTTATTTATTTGAAAGACAGAATTACAGAGAGAAATAGAGCCAGAGAGAGAGAGAGGTCTTCCATCCGCTGGTTCACTCCCCAAATGACCACATTGGCCAGAGCTGAGCTGATCCAAAGCCAGGAGCCAGGAGCTTCTCCCAGGTCTCCCACATCAGCGTGGAAGCCCAAGGATTTGGGCCATCTTCTATTGTTTTCCCAGGTCCTAGCAGAGAGCTTGATAGGAAGTGGAGCAGCTGGGACTAGAACCAGTGTCCACATGGGATGCTGGCACTGCAGGCTTGATCTTTAACTCAATGTGCACAGTACCGCCCCCCCCCCATTTGCTTTTTAAAATTCATATTAACCTTTTAACAACCCTGAACATATTAACATCATGAACATATTCACCAGAAATGTTTCTCTGGAGATGCATATTTGAGACATCAAACTCTCAGAAAAGGATGAAAGAATACAAAAAATGAACATACAAAAAAATCTGGCTGAAGAGAGTAGAAAAAAACAAAGGAACAAAAAAGCAGCAAATTTTTGCCAAAAGCCAACAGACATAAATATTTTTATATCATGGGTTTGAATATGGTTATGGGTTTGTACCCTCATAATCAAAGTATAAATTCTTAAATAACCAATAATTTTATTTTGGCCCCAAACACAACTATTCTAGACTTAACAAATTCCAATTAGTTTTCCCTGGTATATTTATAACTAATGAACGCAATGAGATTGACAAGTCAAAAAATAGATATTTTCTGGACTATCTACTATTTTGATGATGGATGAATTTCAGCAGCTATGCCTTCCACCAAGCCTTGGGAAGCAATGCTCCTCTTGTCTCTGGAAGTAACATTTGGATTGGAGTTCCTTCCTGGAACTAGGCCAACATCCCTGATTTCTGGCCTTAAAACCTCACTATAAAGTAAACTATCACTTAACATAACAAGCACTGTGAACGCAGAGGATTCCTTTGGAAGCCCATGTAAAACAGTGCAATACAGATAACCAACGTTCAACAATTATCTGTGGAGTAACTGGTTAAGTCAATAAATGAATACGTTTACTCTGAGAGCACTTCTTAGTACCAGTTCCCACGAATTTGGGTACTAACATAGACTGATCAGATGAGGTGACTGAGGGCAATGCTACTGGGGAGAGTCTAGAAGCTTCCAGTTGGGGCAGTTAGTTGCCCCACCAGCCAAGTGATGTTCTGCCAAACCAATCAAACAAAAAGCTTTAGAACGCGAGAACGTTGCTGAGCAGGCTTCCGCCAGGTAACCCTCACATAACAGGACTCAGCGTTCCCAGGACTTAGTACTTCTTGGAACCCCAAAGACCTTGTCTCTCACATTGTGGATGAGAAGTTTCCTCGGAGTCGCGGCTGCAGCGGGAGCAGCAGAGACGGAACGTTGATCTTACCCAGAAGGCTTTGCTCCCCTTGTGACTGAGACACCCTGGGATCCAGAGGGGAAACCTACCCGCAGTGCTCATTCTGTGGGTGAGTGTTCTTGTTCACTCTTAAAAAAACCGGAACAACTGATTTTTAAGGTAAAGTTGATGGCAGTTTTTTCCAATAATGACTGCAGTGAAGCTGTGGATGCTGATGGTATTTGTTGCTTTTAATAACTCTGTAAATAAAGGAAATCTAACAGTGCACATACTGTGAGAAGAAGAAAAAAGCCTTGGAATTCATGTACTCCATTATTGTTCTTAAGGTGTTATTCCCTCTTGGGGAAAAAGATCAATTTAAGTTTGAGAAACTGGTTGCTATCAAATTCCTTCTCTGCTCTCTGAAACCTAATAGTTTCTGAAATATCTGTTCAGAAGTTTAAGTTTGCCTGAACATCTCCCAAACCATGGGTAAACAGTGAAAAATCACTGTCTTATTCAGTTAACAGAATGGGGGTAATGCCTTACTTGAATCAGCTAGATTTTTTAATCTGTGAAGATACTTTCTCTTTACTCAAAATGTTTAGACTTCCTTGGGGTCCTGTTCCACAGCCACTGCCCCAGTTTCCTCAGCTGTTAATCCTTACTTACTATGTGAAATAAACAGGACTTCCTAATGGCTATTCTTCAAACATCTTTGTATGGCCTATGGTCTAATATACTCTTCTTTCACTAGTCGTCACCAGTTGTTTCCACGGAACTGAATAAAAACTCTACTCGGCAGAACGAAAAGCTTTCAGAAAATCTGTCTTTTGTTATCACACCCTATGAGCTTCCAGTCCTCACTGATATTCGTACTTCCAAACCTTTTCCCCTTAATGGTAGGTTTACAAGGACCCTAAACATTATTAAAAAGTGCAACTGTGTCAGATTATTAGGTACAGATAATGTTCCCTTTCCTACCTATTTATAGAAGAGCCCTGATGGTCCAAAGGCTTTAGGTCCTTTGGTTACAAGGGATGTATGAGAGCACAAATTTAAACTGCCTGACTTTTTAAAAATGTAATTATGGGGCCTGCCTTGGGCATAGCTGTTGAGATGGCAGTTGGGACCCCTGCATCCCACATTAGTGACTGGATTTGTGTCTTGGCTCTGCTTCTGTTACCGGAGAAATTGCAGGGTTCTTGTCTTCACGCAAGAAAGAACTCAGGCGTGCGACAGAGAGTAGTGGGAGGTAAAATAGCAAGGTTTATTAGGGAAGGGGCATCTGTAAGGACGGATGGGCACCTCTACAGACAGAGCCTAAGAGAGTGCTGGGCGGGGGAGGGAGGAGTGAGGTTACCTGGTTGAGTAGAGAGATTACACCTGACCAGGCCAGGCGGGCGGCTCAGCAGAGAGGCAGAGGGCTGAGCGCACAGTCCAGTTGAGGCCTGGGGTTTTTAAGATGGGTCTTGCTTCCCCACCTCTGCTCCTCTTGGAACAAAGGGCTTTTTGGATGTAAATAGAAAAACTTCTATCTGAGCTTTCCCCTGAAGGTATCAGACAGGAGGAAGCCTAGCTGGGGGCATCCTGAGTTTAGAGGAAGGATGAGCAAGACCCCCTGGAGAATGGGGATCCAGAGCAGGGTGTTCGAAATGCAGATAGTGGGCTGCATCTGGGAGATTGTGGAAGATTTGTCAGGCAGAAGGGGCAGGGACCCCCCCACCTGGCAGGTTATCAGGTAGAAGGGGGCAGGGCAGGATGCGGAAGGCCAGGCTGCCCCTGAAACATTGTCAGGATGACTTTGAGATGCAGATGCATATGCTGGACATAGATGTCTTCTCTTTAGGCCTTTATGTCACACACACATAAGCTCATAACTGACTTCCTACCTAACACTTCCAGTTCCAGCTTTGTACTATTGCCATCCTGGGAGGCGCAGGTGGGAGAACTTAATAGTTGGGAAACAAACAAAAAAAAAGTGATTAATCTAAGAGTTACGTATTCCTATAACATATTCCTGGCAAAGCAGAGAAAATTTTATTCTTTACCCCCTGAAACTTGAAAACTATTGTTATTTCTTTTCTGAAACTTAAGAAGCAGGGGCAGGTACAAAGCAAGAATTTTCCCTTAATTCCAAGCACACAGATTTCTAATGTTAATAAAATGCTTCTAAATCTCCTCATATGGAAAAGCTTTGTACCTGTATACATGCAAGTATAATATATCTAGGTAAATGATGGTGTGGAACAATTATGTCAAAGAGTCTTTTGAGTGGCTTTTTTTGTACAAGACTATACTCCAAATTGTGTGAAGAAATCTGAGTATTCAAATGGTCCATGTGTACAATTCGTACATACTATAAAAATAGAGTGAATGAGATACTAGCTTATCTCTAATCTTACATTGATACTCAAATTGAGATAGTCCAAAGAAGTGGCACTTTGAAAACTGAGCTTGGCCATGCCAAAAACTATGATTGTCTTTGAAGAGAAGGTTAATCTAGTTCATTTAAGAGAGTTTATGTTTAATAAACTCATTTATTCTTTGTTTCTATTCTAGTGGAAGTCACACATCTGGCTAGACGTGAAGATGTTGTGTGGGGAGAGTTTCCTTACAGAAGTGGCATTGCATTTCTACAGACATTTCGCACATTCCTTTGTAAGACAAAAGATAGAGGATTTTTCTTTGATTCCAGGAAGCATTTCCTGTGAACACTAAGACTTAAGCATCTATGTAAATGAAATTTACACAATAGTGACCACATGATGAATGTTAGGGAATGCCCAGGGTTTGTTATATTTGTGCTTTTGGTTCTTTTATTGTTTAATAGCAAATGCTTAGACTGTGCTTTTGTCCTTCCTCCTAGTCCTCCATTCCTACCAGCCTCATTCTGATCATCTGGCATTTACTAGCTTTCAAGAATTAAAAAAGATTACAAGAAATATAGAGAATTGTGGTGACTATTAATTGTCCTAATGACATCCAGTAAAAATTGTAAAACTTTACAATAGACTGATTTCCATACTTTCACTTTTTTGAACTATCACATTATTGATATTTTTTCCATAATTCTGTAATAAAAAGGTTATTCATCATATGCATAATTTGTTGCTTAGCTCCCTCATGCGCAAAATCAATGATGATGTATTTTTGCATGCGGGATCTCTCCTGGAAGAGCTCTGTAATTAAGGTCCTTGGTGGTCATGAATTTCATTCTAATAGAGGACATTTCTCTTTTACTTAATATAACTTCCCATAGGATCTGGCCTATTAGCTTTCTGACTACAGATAGCTTAGACCTTTTGAGTATTCAGAAAGTTTACGATTTTTAAAAAGAGTAATAGAGATAGAACAAATTATAAACATCCAAGGGTTCAAGTTTTGGCTGTATCACTAAATAGCAAATTATTTAACTGTTCTTAACCCTGATTGTTTCATTTATAATTTGTGGTAATAATAATGGCAATACTTTCTCACATTTTCTAGGACATTTTAAATAATATAAGTAATATATATGCAAAAATATTTTGAGAACTGTTAAGTTACATATATAAAGTGACCTCATCATACTGTGTTTCCACATGAAATAAAGTATACATGGTTTGACTAAATATTTAATTCTTATAGATGAGTTAGGTCCTGAACTTAAATCTGAAATTACTGAAGAGAGATTAGACATGTTAATCAGGTTGGGCTATATTGTGTTGCATAATAAACTCCCAATAGCAGTGACAAAACAAAACAAAACAAAAGTCCATTTTTCTTTCAAGGTACACATCCTTGGAAAATTATCTGAGAGACTAAGAGTAGAGTCAGAAAAGCCACCTTCTGGAACATTATATTAATCATGGTAAAGAAAAAGTGAACAACAGAAGACCGTTTATATTTTGGCACAAAGTAGCAGATGTTATTTTTATTCACATTCCACAGCCAGAACCATGGGAAATGCAATCAGACAAGGCACCCAAGAGGTGGAGAGCAGAAAATCTTTATCCCTGATGGCTTCCTCTTTGAGATCCTGTGACATCCACAACTTACAGAAACTGTATTCCATGTCTTCCTTCCAGGTACTCATCCCTTCAGATATATAACCTGCTTATTATTTTGGTAAGAACTTAAAGATTTGTTAATAGGATTCAGCATTGTAATGCTGAATCATTGATGATAGAAAATTAAACTATTTTATTTCCTAAAATGTATCTGTTTTAACAAATGACTGTTAAACAACACAAGAACAAAATCTTCAGAAAATGCAACAATAAATTTCTGTTTTCTATTTTTTGGAATGTTGAGATTTAGTTTGCCTGTTCCTGAGAGATAGTTATAGACAAATGAATGTCCTTTGCGTACTTGAGGTCACAGCAAGCAGTTTTTCCTCTTTTATGAAATAGCAACCAGAATAGATGTGACTAATTTTCATCAATATAAGGTTGAACCATTGCCACATCATGGAAATATGAAGTGTCCTGAGGGAATCATTTCTCATATTCAGAGCCCAGCGGTCTGTATTTCAGAGAGTCCATGCAAATACTGATTGGAATGATAGAATGAGAAAGTAGGATGGAGCAAAAGGTATGACTTTCATTTCACTACGATTGTTCTACCTGTTTAACTAGCTGGTTCATATGTTTGTTTTTCTTTTGGCTTAGATGCCATCTTGGAGTGCCTGTGTCTCAGTCCAACTCTGCTCCTGCTAATGAGCACCCTGGGAGGCAGCAAGTGATGGATCAAGTAGTTGTATCCTTGCCACCCATGTGAGATCCCGGGACTGAATTATTGGCTTCTGGATTCTGTCTGCCACAGCCCTGGCTGTTGCAGGTATTTGGGGAGTAAATGAGCAAATGGGAGATTTCTGACTTTCTGGCTCTCTGTCTTACAAATCAATAAATTAAATTTGAAAGTAATTAAAATAAACATTCTTTTTCATTTGCTGCTTTCTTTAAAATATTAATAAATTTATATTTTTCCCAAAAAGATGAACATACAACAGTTTGTTCCATACCCCAAAACTTATTTCACTCTTTTTAAACTGTTGTGATTTTTCAAGGCCCAACGCAAAGCAAACCCAGTCAAGTAAAGATAATATTTATTAAAAATTATTGGAGACAAAGGTTGACTATTTATCTCCCAAGAATATGTCTGATGGTGAGAGTCTCCCTCCTTCCTTAAAGTGGTGACCATGGACTGGTTCTGTTCTGGAGGAAGTGGTGCTGGTTCCTGAAGCTGTCCAGGGGCACTGGGGGTCTGTGGGCCCCTCAGATGTAGGTAGAATGTCCTCCACAAGCAGGCTGCCAGCTGTGGCTAGAAAGCCTGTCTCCTGACCTGCTGACATCTCCCCCACGGTAGCTTCTTGTGCTGCATGTGTGACCTTGAGGTTTTAAATCATGCCTTCAAGTTATTTGCAATCTTCCACTCAGAGCTAGCAGAAGAGGGGGCCAAGCCTCTAAGAAGAATCGGACTGTCTGTAAGAGACCTCCCCGCTATCTCCATGAGCCCCAAGCCAGTTAACATACTGTATGTAAAACCCTTGTTCAATTGGAACCCCCATAGAATGACCCAATGAAAAACCAGTAATGCCTTAAAAAATCCTGGGCTCTTCCTGAAAGCCAGTGCCAGATTTGAACACTCTGCCTGGTCTCCTCTCAGACCAAATGCTTTTCTGTAGCTTGCCAATCAAATTCTGTTTCTTTGCAAATTGCTTACTTTTTTTTTTTTTTAACTTTTATTTAATGAATATAAATTTCCAAAGTACAGCTTACGGATTACAATGGCTCCACCCCCCCATTAACTTCCCTCCCACCCGCAACCCTCCCCTTTCCCTCTCCCCTTCCATTCACATCAAGATTCATTTTCAATTCTCTTTATATACAGAAGATCAGTTTAGCATATATTAAGTAAAGATTTCAACAGTTTGTACCCACATAGAAACACAAAGTGAAAAATACTGTTTGAGTACTAGTTATAGCATTAAATCTCAATGTACAGCACATTAAGGACAGAGACCCTACATGAGGAGTAATTGCACAGTGACTCCTGTTGTTGACTTAACAAATTGACACTCTTGTTTATGGCATCAGTAATCACCCTAGGCTCTTGTCATGAGTTGCCAAGGCTATGGAAGCCTTTTGCTTACTGGTTTTTTATTTCTACTGAGCTGAGGAAAGAACCCACAAAGCTTGCTCCCGCACCAGCCCTCCTCTCTGCAACCCATAACAGACCCCAAAAGCATGTCAGTAAAAAAGGTAACTGTTGAAAGAACTATCCAAGGCCTGGGTCCCAGTGGAGGTGGAATTTAAACAAAAATTGAATAACAATATGTAATATGTAGAGAATTAAATTGTGTGAGTGGGACAAGCAACACTGAATAAATATAAAAGAGACACAGAAAATGTGAAAAAAGTCTGTGATTCTAAACAGCAAAATTCACACGTATCCATGGTAGCTTCTTTGTAAGCCTTAATTTTACTTATGGACACAGTTTGGTTAGTGATAGCTAACAATACAAATGAAAAAACATAGTTTAAAATTTAATTTTTAATCAAGTTATGTCTGTTTATGATTATTTATACCCAAATTTCAAACCTTGTAAACATTTCCCTATATTTAACACAATGATTGTTAAAAAGAAATCCCCCATTTTTAGAATAAATTACTTATTTTATTAGTATTACTAGTAAGCATTGCATTAGCCAAAATTAAGTTTATTGATTTCTATGAGCTATATGCCAACCACAATTGTTTTTTTAATCTTTTTTGTTTTTTTTTTTAATTCTTTTCTTTTTTAAAGGAATTTATGAAGACATTAGATTCTGAAGTTGATAGCAAATGCATAATACTACAGCACAATTCTCATCACTCCTTTGTTAAAGTGCTGTTAATACAAAGAGAACAGATTCAATGTAGTTCATAGACACAATTCTAAGACTATAATACTTCCCTTCCTCCCTTCCTTCTTTTCTTCCTTTCTTTCTTTCTTTCTTTCTTTCTTTCTTTCTTTCTTTCTTTCTTTCTTTCTTTTTCTTTCTTTCTTTCTTTCTCCCTTTTTTCTTAGCTTTTGAGATGACATATTTTAATTTACATTATAGTCAAAGGTTTAGTGCTTCATTAAATACAGTGTTCAAATGGAAATAAAAAGGCCCTATTGTTTATAGACCCAGACTATATTCCCACTGAACTAAGGTGTTTTTTTTTTCTTTTAAAAGACAATCTAAAACTTCAATTTGTGATCATGTTGAATTATTTTACTGTTTGTAAAGAGAAATCTTCACATTTCAATGTGTATTGCACTTGAAAGATATTTTATTGAACAAGATTTTAGTATCATATTATTCAGCATATTGAGAACTTGCATCAATAAAATAAAATGGTGCAGAGTGATGAGAAAAGAACAGAGAAGGACTTAACACATAAATACTCTGCATGTGCTAACTGTGGTCATATGTCATCAAGGAGAGCTATTGTTGGGGGAGGGATTTTCAAGACTGCAGGAGAGCAAAGTTAAACTAGAAGATGTTCGGCAGAGGAAATAAAATTTTCTTCATGTTCAATTTAAAAGAAATGCATTACAGCAGACAGTGTTATGTTCAGGTTGAGATTAGATGCATAACATGGGTTCCTTGCTGTGCTTATCAACTTGATAGAATTTAATTTGTGTAGTGGTAAATACAAATGCAAGGTTTTGCTGTTAAATGGCATTTTAATGGCAGTTTTTGTATGTATAAATAATTTTCTTGAACCATTAACAGAAGAAAGAGAAGAATTGACAAGCTAAGAATTTATAAAAAGTCACTACTAGTACCACTAAAGGAAACAGTAAGGAATACAGCTTTTGTCTTTGGGCAGGTGGCCTTTCTGACACCTCATACTAGTAACTAGTAATGGTCAATCTACCCTCAGTCACTGGTGGTTCTGGCTCACTGTAGACCTCCCCTCAACCTGCAGGCTTCTTCCCCTGTGGCAGGCAGAGGTGAAGCCCCTTAGGCGTTTCCTTGGAAAAGAAAATGATGGTGGAAGAGGTGGGCAACAAGTCTGGTTTCTCATTGTTCCTCCTTTGAAGTTCAATCACTCCTCCCAGGGAAGAGTTAATGTCAGGGTGAAGAGAGGCTGGGAGCTCTACTCAGGAAGGTGTCTCTCTGTGAAAGAAAGGAAAAAGAGTTTTTGAAAACTCAACAGCACAGATATGAAGAAGAGGCATTGGCCATCACCACTTTCAGCTTTAACTTAACTTTAAAAAAAGTAGCATCTATTTTGGTGGTGGTTCTTTAAATTGGATTGATTTGATCATCAAATTAACAATCACAGTTAAAAGATATTAACTGATTTAAAAATAAAAAGTATAAGAGTGAACAATGGTTGACTTATGTCACAGTCTATGATGATAAGAATCAGAAATGAAAATAATAAGTGGGGCATAAAGTAAAGTATCTCTCATTATTAACCCCAATAGTAGAAATATAACAAAATAATGTTACCTAACATATTACATTTATGTTCTTACATTCAAGGATTTATAGTTTTATCTATAATTTGGTAACTGGCCGGCGCTGCGGCTCACTAGGCTAATCCTCTGCCTGCGGCGCAGGCACCCAGGGTTCTAGTCCTGGTCAGGGCACCTGATTCTGTCCCGGTTGCTCCTGTTCCAGGCCAGCTCTCTGCTGTGGGCTGGGAGTGCAATGGAGGATGGTCCAAGTGCTTGGACTCTGCACCCGCATGGGAGACCAGGAGGAAGCGCCTGGCTCCTGGCTTTGGATCGGTGCAGCGCGCCAGCCACAATGCGCCTGCCATAGCAGCCACTTGTGGGGGTGAATCAAAGGAAAAAGGAAGACCTTTCTCTCTGTCTCTCTCTCTCACTGTCTAACTCTGCCTGTCAAATAAATAAAAAATAAATTAAAAATATATAATTTGGTAACTTTTTATTTTAAAGTATCTGAGATCTATGCACAAAAAGAATTTAATACATTTTTATTTATATACACATAATATTAAAATAAAATGATTTAAACATGTAGTTAAGATCCATGAGCAAACACTTCCTTTCAAAGAGACTATAATTCTTTTAAAAATATTTATTTATTTTCATTTTATCTGGAAGGTGGATGGGGTGCGGAAAGAGATTTGCCATTCATCAGATATGAAGAGTGGGCCAGACCACAGCCAAGAGTCCAGAACTCAATGCATATTTCCCATGAGGGTGGAAGGGACCTACGTACTTTAGCCATCACCTGCTGTCTTCCAAGGTGGACAGTAGCAGGAAACTGGAATTGAAAGCAGAGCTGGGACTTGAAACCCAGTGTCTCAATATGGGATAAATGTGTCCTAAGCAACAACTTAACTGTCAAGCCAAAGGCTTGCCCCAGAAATGAAATTTCTTCAATTTGGAAAACACTAACTGAAGCAATAGAAATTAAAGAATGGAAAGGAATCTTACTTGAATCTTTCGTTAAAAACAAGAAAATCAAGGCTAGAAAAAAAATGACACAAATCAATCAAGGGCATAAAGAATGGTAAGGCAGTTACAATACTAAACTCAGATATAATTTTTAACACTAATTGTCTTGTAACTAGTTTTGAAAATATATTTTCGTGGGCATACTAGAGTGTCTGAAGTAAGTCTCACACTGTTTCTTGAATTATAGATATTCTCTTTTATGAATAAATATTCAAATCTGGACATATTAACTTCAGAAACAGAGAGATTGTAGATCAATAAACAAATAGAAAACTGTACTGCACAGAATATTTCATGATGGTAAAAATTATTTGCCTACATACTCAAGGGTGATAACTAATTTTGGACCTAAAGAAAATCAGGGTAGAATAGTGATTTTGTTGGAAAACCAAATAAATTGTGCCATTGACCTACAAATTATCTTTGATCATTGGCTAAATGTTCACCAGATGACTCAGACACTGGGAGAGAGGACATGGCAAAGTACACATCTGTGTAGGTGCCTGATGGGCTAGGCATGTCTTTCAGGTGAGAGCTGATGACTCAACGAGCTCATTTGAGCTGTTTTCCTTTTGCAATGAAGTCCCCCTGGGGTTAAAAAAAAATCCAGCCAAAACCACAAACTCTGAGTGCAGGAGGGATAGCTAGTCATGCAGCAAGAAATTGGGATTTTATTCTAAATTTGACAGAAAGCTCCTGAGGGATTTTAATCAAGGAAGTGACCCGGCTGGTGTGTGAACAGATGGAAGAAGGATAAAGGTGTAAAGTGGAAGGCCAGATTGGAGGTCATGGCAGTAATTTGGTGAGAGGTTCAGGATTAGAATGAGAATTGAAGGTAAAGTATAGGAACAACCAATAAATGTGGGCAGAGAGGAGAGGTGTCAGCCTAACAGTGCTGTGAGACACACGGGTGAAAGGACAAGATCATAAAAAAGACGGACCAGAACCAGTCCTTTCCACTCTGCCAATCACTTCTCACATACTTTTCTCATTCTTTATTCCTCCCCACCTTGTCTTTGCCTCATCTCATTGCAACAATCATAATGACTCATTTGCTTTGTAAATTGTTAAATACCCAAGTCGTTAACTAACCTCTGTGTAACATGAAGATGAAGACTGTTTTGCTGTTTTCTCAGCATCTGGCTTAATGCCTGATACAAAGTCAGCTTTCATTGAATTTTTATTAAAATAACTGAAGGAAGGAAGGCACTTCTTACCCAAGTTGTAGGGAGAGAATGTATAGTAGGCAGTGTGAAGTTTTC